CATTCAAGGGGATGCATCGATGCACTGTTAAGTGTATCGATGCACTAAACACAAAAATGCAAAAATCCGTTTTTGAGCACTCAAAATGCTAAATTAAACTACTCAAGTGGTATAGGCAACTCATATAATGAAAATTAACAATGTTCAATCAATCAAATTTGTCTTTAAAAAATATTTGAACATAAAATTAATTTTTCATCAAAAATCATAAACTCCCCCTAACTATTAGCAAGAAATGCATTCAAAAATGTTATTTATAAGCATTTTTCATTTGTTCTTAAAAGTGCTAAAATTATTATTAAACACAAAGTGAAGATAGGTCAGTTAAACCTAATTCTCTCCTAAGTGTCCAAAATCTTTCCTTATCTAAGGGTTTTGTAAAAATATCCGCTAATTGGTGCAAAGTATCAACAAATTCTAGAACTACATCTTCCTTAGCGACATGGTCTCTAATGAAGTGATGTCTAATTTCAATATGCGCAAATTTGTTCTTTCTTTTGAGGCCAAAGAGATAACCTTACAACTCCCTCAAGAATATACCCCAATTCTTGAGAACACTCTTTCTCAAAGAGAAGATTACAAATTCGCAAACTTAATGAAAAACCTCACAAGACAAATATGTTTGCACAATTCTAGAACAAAAAAAGAACACTCAAGAATGAATACAATTGAGTACAAGTAGTGTTCTTGAAAGCAAAATGAATATTGAATGAAAAATAGGCTTGAAGTGCTCAAACTTGAGGTTTGATGCTTTCTCTTTGATTCTCTCTTGATTCTCTCTTGATTCTAGTTTCTTGTTGTTGATCAATGGCTTCTAAGCTTGTTTAAATACTCCTTCAAATGATTCTGAACGTTGAGGATGATTAGTGGAGTTAATAGAGTCGTTTGAGTCTGAAAACAATTTAATTAAAACAGTTGGGAGCGTCGGTGCATCGATGCATGACCATAGTGCATCGGTGCATCAGTGTAAAATTCAAATATTTTGACCGCTGGAACACTTAGTGCATCGGTGCACTAAGTATGTATCGATGCATAAAATGCATTTGATGTTTTGAAAAGGCCTAAGTGCATCGATGCATGGTGTGTGCATCGATGCATCAAATGCATTCGATGTTTTCATTTAAAATCAGAGTGCATCGATGCATGTATAGTGCATCGGTGCATGAAATGCATTCGATGTTCAATTTATTTAATGGTGCATCGATGCATGGATTGATGCATCGGTGCATGCCTTTGAAAAATTGATTTAAGGCTTGATTTTGGTTCAAAATACTTTGTGAAAATTATTTCAAAAATAGTTTAAGTATAAAACACAATTTTACACATTTAGTAAGGATTAAAATTGATCTTGAAAGACTTGGAGTAATAATTTGATATTCGATTAATTAATCGAATATACTTGTAAAAATCTTTTGTAAAATCTTAAAATTCATTTATACTTAATTTGTTATATCGAAATATCAAAATGTTTTCAACAGATCAAAATAAGAGTGAGAAGAGAGTTAAATATGAATGGTGCAATTTACCTATAAAAAAGGTGTCACGTCTAAATCACCCATCAAATTTTCATCGGGAGACTAAAATGAAATAAAAAAATAAATGTTATATATAATTTTAAAAAAATTAAAAGTTTATATATTAAAACAAACTAAAACTGATAATTTAGGTACAAAACATAAATTTATCTTTTTTTAATCATATTTAAAATTATGTTTTATTTATGTTTTAATCACATGTATCATATTTGAGAGTTGACTTAGTCGAAATGAAGATATAATATAATATAATATAATATAATATAATAATTTTAATCCTCAAAATTTATATATTATACCATATTAGTCATAATTTAAAATAATTCAATAAATTTTTAATATTTTAAAAAGTGTATCGATGTAAATAAAATCTCAAAATCCCTCTCTCGAATCCCCATCTTTCCCAACATCGTTGTCACTGCCTGTATGCTCAACCATCGTCATTGCCTCTCTATGTTGGCCGCCTGTATGATGAAAATGTCATTCTTGAAGCCTTACAGCCATTTTGTATGCTTCAGATAAGAGATGAGAAGGAAGATTAAGTTTGATGGGTCTGTTTCAGATTTGCATTGGAGTTAGGTAAGGACAATGAGATAGATGATGGAAAGAAGGAGATAACGCAATCAATTTCATAAGGCCGACCTTGCATTGAAAGCCATTACCTTCAACACAAACATAGTAGTAGGGCTTCTTCTTCATCTACAAAATGAAGTCGAACCCATTTCCAACTCCTTGAGTTTGGTTGGCAATCATCTTAGCTTTGTTCAAGTCGCAGATTCGGAAGCTCCTGAGGCTGGGTAGCACGGAGACAATGTAAGTAGGGACGAATATCATGGATTACGTTAGAGGGAACATACTTTTAAAGTTTTAGGAGAGAACTTTCAATAAAAAACATTTGAAATATATGATACTTTAAAAAAAATTTGGAGATAAGTGTCCCTAATCGTCCCTCCTCAATTCTTCCTTTAATCAGACTACTTTTGTTAAGGGAATGAGTATGTGGATCCTTATTGAGGACATGACCTCTGATAGGAAAGTATGGAGACTGAAGACCAAGGTAGCCGAGTAGTGCGGGTCACATCCATAGGGTGTATCATCTCTGTCTTCTTTTAATACATTTGTAGTATTTTTCATGACTTCTACTTTTTATACGTTTCATTCATTGCAAATTATGAAGGCTTAGAACTAGGGTAGCGGAGTAGTGTTGCCTTAGTTTAGGTTTTAACCCATTTGACTTCATTCCTTCACGTAACCTGCTATCGTGGACTTCTGTCTATCCTTCTCTCCATGTTTCCTCTTTTAAATTTAGTCTGGTCTTACGTTGCTTTCTATATGCACAGAGTTTTACGCAGGGATTTAGTTGCAGGGATTTACTCCCCATTACAGAAGCGCATATGAAGGTTGCATAAGAAGATCGTTCAACTATGTATTTATTTATTTATTTATTTATACATGCATTGCATTTTATCTTTATTTTAAATTTTCTGGCTGCCGGAGGTCTTCCACGGAAGCTGCTCTCAACCTGGCGTTTGGGGGCATCCTACTACCCTACCTCCCTCTTACCCCATTGCATATGGGAATAGGGTTTTGTTGTTGTTGTTGTTGAATGAGTATGTGGATAACACCTGACTCTGTCAAGGATTATGCTCGTAAGTCTCTGTCTCTGAGGTGTGCACTGAAAGTCGGCCTTCAGAAGGCTTTTGACAATGTCAGTTGGGACTTTATCTTGGCATTTTTGGAGGCAATGAGTTTGCTTGAAAAGTTTAGAGGTTGGATCAGGATATGTTTGATTACTGTTTATTTTTTATTGAGTTCACCGAGAATCTTGGGGGATTTTTAAAGGCGAAAGGGGATTAGACATGGTGACCCACTGTCCCCCTATTTGTTTGTTATGGTAAATAATGTTTATTTAAGTTATGGATGTTACTGTTGAAAATGGTATTTTTTAGTTTCATCCGAAGTGCAAGAAGATTAGATTAACGCATTTGCGCTCTGCTGATGATCTCCTTATCTTCTCCAAAGGCTCTATTGAACTTGTTATCATTGGATAGATTTTATGTGATGTCGGGACTGAGATTGAATGCTGTAAAAAGTGAGCTCTTTGCTTTTGGGGTCCCATTGGATGAATTGGAAGCTATTAGGTGTTTCAATTTTAAATTGGGGGTTCTTCCTGTTAGGTACTTGGGAGTACCACTAGTTACTAGAAGGTTATCTGAGAAGGATTGTCGCAACCTTTTGGAGAAAGTTAGGGAGAAGTTGGGGCTATGAGCAAACAAGAGCCTTAGTTATGTTGAGAGATTGGAGCTGATTCGTTCTGTCTTGTTCAACATTGCAAACTTTTGGTGCAGACAGTTCATTCTTCCGAAAGGAGTACTAAAGAAGATTGATCAGCTTTATATAAGGTTCTTTTGAAATGGGTTGGATACTTCTACTGTTGGTGCAAAGGTTGGTTGGCTTCAAATATGTTTCCTGAAGTCTAAGGGAGTCCTTGACTTAAAGGATTTAGGTTGGTGGAACAAAGCTTGTCACTTCAAGTTGATGAAGCATATCCTGGTAATGAAGGCTCCTTATGGGTTGTCTGGGTTCATGTTTATGTTATTAAGGGGAGAGATTTTCGATGTTTGGATCTTAAGGGGTCTATGAAGGGGCTAAGGAAGTTCTTGGCTTTGCGTGATGAGATTTATCCTATTTTTGTTGTTGTTGTTGATTGTGCAAGTTGAGTGCTCGTGTTATGTGGTCAGAGATAAGACTAAAGAGGGATATGGTCCCTTGGCATAAGCTGATTTGGTTCTCGCTCCACGTGCTTAAGCATGCTATCATTGTTTGGATGGTCATCTTGAGAAGACTTGCTACGAGAGACAAGTTGATTCGTATGGGAATTAGGACTGATGGATTGTGCATGATGTGCGGAAACTAGAGACCACCTCTTCTTTGGTTGCTCATTTTTGCGGATGATTTGGAGGGAGATTCTCGCCATCTGCGGCCTACAGAGATCTATGGTTGGATGGTGTCGAGAACTGAATTGAGCAGTTAAACATTTGAAGGATAAATTTCTTGTTACCTTTATCCTTAAACTTGTTTGAAATGTTTCAATTTATTTTAGTGATGGGAGAGGAACAGAAGAATTTTTTGTAATCAAGCTAGTAGTGGTAAGGATGTTTTAGGATCTGTTAGGGAACTCATCAGAATAAGAGTTGCTGGCAGGTGTATAGACAAGAAGATAGTGCTAATGTCTTTCTTTGTACTGAACGAGCCCTGCCTTCTTTAAGGTGCTCAATGCTTGTATAATAGCTCTAGCTGTATTCTTTGGGTATTAATGAATTCACTTATCCAAAAAAAAGTATTATAATTTTAGCATACAGGTTTTACTTTTGAAAGTTCTATTTTTGCAATTTGATAACTTTACGGATGCATGTAGTAAAATTTTAACTTTCAATAGATGAAAAACATACATACTCAACTGTGTACTGTACATCTCTTCACTGTGTTCTTGAAACATACATTCTCAACTGTAGTGCTACCAGTAATCTCCACAGGAACAGGTTCCGTCTCTGAAGTGGTGAAAGCGCTTCCGATCACGTACTATTATTACTCTCTGATATATTTTAGACAGCAGCTTAGTCGCAGTGTGACAATCGTTACAAACTCTCAGATTTTTCACAATCCGAATTGGAGTCCCTGGGGCTGTGCTAATGAGGCCGAAGGCCATTGCCAGTTTCTCACTGTGATAGTTAAGTGCAGTTTCTTTCTCTTCCTCATCTATATTTTTAAGGACCGCAGATGTGTCTGCTCTGTACCCTGCCTCCTTCAGCTTGTTTCCCATATCAGATACCATAACATTTATCTTTTCGATTTCAGGGTGTGTCCTATCTCCCATTATGAACTCATGAACATATCCATTTACTTCAATACAGCTGAGCCCTGGTTCTTTCCTCATTCCCTTGCTCTTCATTGCTTTTCTCACCCCTGCAACATCATTCCACCTGTTTGCCATTGCATATATATTTGAAATTGAAACATTATAACCACAGTTTTGAGGTTCCAGGTGAACAAGCTGCCTTGCAGCTATTTCCCCTAATACAGCATTCCGGTGAAGCTTGCATGCAGCAAGAAAAGCACTCCATATAATGGCATTTTCCCTTATAGGCATGTTTTTGATAATGTCATAGGCCTCATCTAGTCGTCCTGCTCGACCAAGAAGATCCACCATACAACCATAGTGCTCAATCTTTGGAACCAATGCAAATTCATGAACCATTTTGTCAAACATCAACTTCCCTTCTTCTACCAACCCTGCATGACTACAAGCATGAAGAAGACCAATAAATGTGATATCATTAGGCCTAGAACCCACTCTTTCCATCTTGGATAGTAGCTCCAAAGCCTCCTTACCACATCCATGCATCCCGAATCCTGCCATCATTGCATTCCACATGCCAATATCTCGATCTTTAGCTTCACTGAATAATTTCCAAGCTCCATCAATGTCTCCACACTTGGCATACATTTCCAAAAGTGCGGTTTTTAATATCGTATCCATTTCGACACCTTGCCTTTGTACGACAGTATGAACCCATTTTCCCATATCATGGGCTCCAACCTCTGCACAAAGTGAAAGCATGGTCGTCATTGTCACTTGGTTAGGCGTCACTCCATTGTCCCTCATCTTGACAAAAAGATCAAAAGCCTGATCTGTGCAATGAGCTTTTGCATAAGCTGCAATCATAGCACTCCAGATCGTAACATCTTTGTTCTCAACTGAGTCAAAAACTGCTTTAGCATTCTCTATATCCTCACAATTCCCATACATATCAACCAAAGCTGTAGCTAGAGCCAAAGACATATAAATGTCACTTCTCACAATATAAACATGTAGCTGTTTCCCCAGTTCAAGAGCCCCCAGAAAACCACACTCTACAACTAAGCTCAGCAAAGTGATCCCATTTGGCTTAATCCTTTCTTCAATCATTCTAGCAAAAAGATTCATTCCCTCTTCTAATTTATTGCAATGAATATATCCAGTAATCATAGCAGTCCATGAAGCAATGCTTTTCTGATTCAATCCATTGAAAAGCAGTCTTGCAGAAGCTAAATTCCCACTTTTGGCATACATATGAATGAAAGCGGTAGCTAAACGAACACCCATTTTCTCAAGATTCCTTGTAGCATAAGCATGCATCGCTTTTCCCATTTCATTATCCACGAGGTCTGCAAATAAAGTTACCATGCTAATCATGGCAACTTCACTGGGTCTTATTTGTAAAGTTTGCATCTTTCTTATAGTCTCCAATGCTTCCCTGTGCAATTTGCTTCTAACATAGCTTCTAATCATTGTACTCCAAGAAACATCATCTCTTTCACGCATATTATCGAACAACAACCTGGCAGAGACCACACTGTCACATTCACTATACATTTGTATCAAAGCATTACTTACAAAAACATCTTCAGTCAATCCACTCTTCACAGAGAAACCATGTATTTCTTTTCCCAATTGGGTCATTGAAACAAAACTGCAAGCTTTGAGGACAGCAGGGACCATGAAGTTATCAACTTCATAGTCCAATCTTCTCAAATAAGCATAGATGTCAAGTGCAGTATGGGGTTGGGTGTTTTTAGTGTAAGATGTGATAAGGAAATTAAATTGTGCTGAAAGACTAAGGTTGGCATCATTGAAGTGGGTTTTGACCATGAGAGCATGGATTTGCCTGGTTTGTTCAAGGGTGGGTTGTAGAAGTGTTGGAGGCAAGACGGAAGGAGAAGAAAGTGGTGGTTTCTGAATTACAGCTACTTTCATCATGTCCATGGAGTTCGTCATCTTCACAAATAAAATATCTTTGTTATGTAGATAACTTTTGGAGTTGGTTTTCATGCTTACCCATTGGCCCAAGAATAGTTGGCCTAACTCAAAACACTATAATCCTTAAATCTTCACAAGAGTCTCCAAGCCCAAAATATCAACAAAAGATAAAACATTTTTAATACATATATCGAAGTTATTTTCTATTTAAATGAGGATGAATTCATGAACAATATAGGATTACAAAAGTTATTTTTATCTTTTCCATAGCTGGTAGGTAAACACTTAACAATAAAATTGAACCTAAGTTAATGGAGAGATCAAATAAAAAATAGTATAGAGACTCAATGTTGAAAAGTTAAAATATAGGGACTAAATTTTAAAATAATTCAAATATCAGTGACATATCTAAACGAAAAAGACATAGCTAGTTTAATTATTGAAATTGATATTAAAATTTTTAAAATCATATAGAATGAGTCTAGACTTGTAACTAAGACTTTTTCTTTTACTTAGATCATATAGAAAATAATTATTATATGATGATCATATTGTAACTAAGACTTTTCATTTACGTAAATCATATAGAAATTAAGTATTATATGATGATCATATTGTAACTAAGACTTTTTCTTTTACTTAGATCATATAGAAATTAAGTATTATATGATGATCATACTAAATTTGTTATTTTATATCTTAATTATTAATATATTGTTTTTACCTTTTAAGATTCAATCTTTTTTTTTGTGTGTGGAAATTAAGGGTATTGATTGAAAGTTCCTTGTACCTGCTGTGGAGAATATATATATATATATATATTTAGCTTCAGTCTCTATATGTATTCGGAGTTGCTAGCAAAGGTTACTACAATGCAATTGCAACAATGACAATTCTTACAATTTCCTTATTCTCATTTCTTCTTCTCATTGCATCCGTCTGTCTTAGCTTCTGCAATTGCAATTCCAATGTGCTTTGCATTGAAAGTGAGAGAGATGCTCTTTTGAAGTTCAAGATCGATCTGATCGATCCCTCAAACAGCCTATCTTCCTGGGTTGAAGGTGGGGATTGCTGTGATTGGAATGGTGTTGTTTGCCATAACTCAACAGCCCACGTCACCCAACTGCTTTTAGCTCCTCCTGATGGACGGCAAGGTTACGGTCGTTCAGCTCTAGGAGGCAAAATAAATCCTTCTCTGCTAGAGTTGCAGCATCTCAATTGGCTGGACTTGAGCAATAACAATTTTAGCACCATACAAATCCCAAAGTTTTTGGGTTTGTTGGGGAGCTTAACATATCTTAATCTCTCTCAAGCACGATTCCAGGGTGCAATTCCTCGTAACCTTGGGAATCTCTCAGAGTTGCAGTATCTTGACCTCGGACGTAACTATTTCTCTAAAGTGAAAAGTCTTCAATGGATTTCTGGACTTTCTTCTTTGCAGTACCTTGATTTGAGTGGTGTGCATCTTCGTAAAGCAACTGATTGGCTACAGGTAACATTATCCAATCTTCCTTCTTTGTTAGAGTTGCGCTTGTCTGACTGCATGTTACAAGATGATACATCTCCGATCAGCACTGTTAATTCTACAAATTCACTAGCCGTTCTTGATCTTTCTTGTAATGAATTATCTTCAGTTCTTATGTCGATATTTGGTCTTCATGGTCTCGTGTCCATTGATCTCAGCTACAATTCTTTGGAAGGCCCAATTCCAGATTACTTTGGGAACATGTCATTTCTTGAAGTTGTTGATTTTAGTTCCAACTCACTCAATTCATCCATACCCAACTCCTTGTATAGTTTAAACCATCTTCGATCCCTTACTCTTTCTTTTAACGATTTACAAGGTGAAATTTCGAGTGCCATTGGAAACTTGAGCTCTCTCATTCACCTTGATCTTTCATTTAATGAGCTACAAGGGAAAGTACCAGACTCTCTGGGAGATCTTTGCAAATTGAAGGAGATGGATTTGTCATCTAATGGAATTGATCAAGACATATCACAAATCCTACTGATTTTGTCTACATGTTGTTTGGATTGTTTAGTGTCATTGAGGATGTCATATAACCAACTTTCTGGCCATTTAACAGATCAACTTGGGCAATTTAAAATTTTAGCTTACATGGACCTTGCTCGAAACAACATTTCTGGTCCCATTCCATGGTCGATAGGGGAGTTATCGTTTTTGAAGGTCTTTGATGTTTCATAAAATCAATTAAATGGTACTTTTCCTCCAAACTTTGGGCAATTGAAAAACTTAAAAGCTCTATATATTGGGAAAAATCATTTGGAAGGAGTTGTATCATAAACTCACTTTTCTAATCTCACGAGGTTGAAGACTTTGGTGGCATCCGAAAACATGATAAGATTTGAACCAAACTCAAGTTGGATTCCTCCGTTTCAATGTGGAATTATCGAATTGAGTCAATGGCATCTTGGCTCGAAGTTTCCCCAATGGTTGAAGTTCCAAAATAAGTTGTATGCTTTAGACATCTCGCATGCAGGAATTTCAGATGTCGTACCCACTTGGTTTTTGAACCTTTCCACTCAATTTGAAAACGTGAATCTTTCTTCTAATCAACTAACTGGAAGGATTACATATTTGAATGTAGGAAACATTGTCGACCTATGCTCAAATCGATTCTTTGGTCCACTGCCAAGACTGTTGTCAAACAGATTCTCTGGTCCATTAGAATATTTAAGTTTGTCAAGGAATTTATTTTCAGGATCTCTTTATGAATTTGTTTGCAATTCATCAATGACATCAATGAAAGTTCTTCTCATTGATACAAATTTTCTCTCTGGAGGAATTCCAGATTGTTGGAACCTCGGGCAGGAATTGAAGCTCTTAAATTTGGGAAACAACAATTTGACAGGAAAAATCCCATCTTCTTTGGGAGATAAAAGTCTTGAAATGCTAAACCTTCGGAACAATAGCATGCTTGGAGAATTACCCTCCACATTACAAAATTGTACTAATTTGGTTGTTCTTGATCTCAGTAAAAATCATTTCAGTGGAAGAATACCAGCATGGATTGGTGACAAGCTCTCTAAGCTTGTGGTACTAAGCCTCCGGTCAAATAACTTTGATGGTCATATTCCTCATACAAATTGCACTCTTCAATCTCTTCAGAACTTGGACCTTGGACACAACAATATTTCAGGAGCTATTCCAAAATGTTTTAGACATTTAAGTGCAATGGCCACCGAAGAAAAACAACATATCTACTATTCTGAGTGGTTGTACAATGATGCTAATGCAGAAACGAGCATTTCTTTAATGGGTGCGTCATTTTTGCTGAAAGGACGAGAGGACTTGTATAGTACCACACTGGGACTTGTTACCAGCATAGACCTTTCGGCTAATAGTTTTACAGGAGAGATCCCAAAAGAATTTGGAACTCTCATTGGGCTATTGTCATTAAATCTTTCAAGGAATCTCTTAACAGGAAATATACCAGACAACATTCGCAACTTGAAGTTGATGGAATCTCTTGATTTGTCAATGAATCAGTTGCATGGTGAAATCCCTTCAAGTTTGTCCAATTTGAACTTCTTGAATCACTTCAACGTATCCTACAACAACTTGACAGGACAAATCCCAACAGGCACTCAACTTCAAAGGTTTGATAACTCTTCTTACATGGCCAATTATCTATGCGGGCCTCCTCTCAGTAAAAGTTGCAGTGCTAAAGGTGTTCCGACTGATGTTACGAAGAATGGAAGTAGCAGTGGAAGAAGTAAAGTGAATGGATATTATTGTTGAAAAGTCAAATTGATGAATTCAATTTTGGCACTATTAATGGGCGGCTGGGGCTGCTAATTTTTTCCAAATTGGCAGCACACTTTGGTTGAATTTGGTAAGGGATAATTACCAAATTTAGTCCATATACTTTAGGGTATTTATAAGATTAGTCCTTAAGCTTCAACTATAAATACCTTATCCCATTTAGCTTCAAAATCATCCCAAATCAATTCTTTCTCCCAATACTAGAGAGCTTTCTTGTGAGTTGTGAGTGTTTTGTAAACACCTGTAAATTTTCCCTCTTTAGTAAAATATCTGCAGCAGTCCGGAGACGTAAGCAAAATTGGCTGAACTCCGTTATCAATTTCGGGTATTATTTTTCCGCTTTTATTTCGCATTCTCACTAATATGGTTATAGGGAAATTTTTCGGTTATTTCCCAACAACTGGTATCAGAGCTTTTTGTTGTGAATTTTGTCAATTTTTCTGCGCAGTTACTATTCACATGAATAGTGAATTTCGTGAATAGTGAAATTTGGTTGGTGATACGAGTTTGTCGACGGAGGTGTTCTAATACACGGTGGTTCGCAAGAATTGTCAGAAACGATCCAAAAGAAGCCAGATTCGAGTGGGAGCGATGGCTGCAGACAAAGGGAAGGTGAAAATTTAGAAGTTGGATGGTGCGCTCAAGACCTTCTTGGAAGGACTTAGACCAGAGGCAATGCTCGGGGGAAAGCAAGGTGATGCCCAGAGACTTTCGGAGGCCATAACTGTAGCCAAAAAGATGACTGAGCTTACAGGTGTCAAGCCAAGTAGCGATGTGTCGTCCAGACCCATGCCTAGAGATAGTGACAATAATGGGGGAGACCGAGAAAAGGTGCAGCGGGGAGATGGTAGAGGAAGCTCTTCGAATAGCCAATGTGAGCCATCGACTGTTCGTAGCCAAAGAAAGCCATCGGGAAAGAATGACAAGGCTAAGTCCGGTGCGAAGAAGAAGATGAGCAAAGAAAAGTTAAAGTGCTACTTCAGTGATGGTCCTCATTTGATTAGAGAATGTCCCGAGAAGCGTCGCCTTGCAACCATCATGAAGAGGATGGAAGAAGGAGAAGTAGCGGGAATTGGCACGGTTGCAAGTGTTAAAACTGCCAAGTCGGAGAAAAGACTTGGTCCGATTGAGGGGATCAATGCGACCAAGCAAGGAACAAGACGAGGCAAGACTATTGATGTTGAGGCAGCCGAACCTAGAAGAAAGCCCGATTTGATTGCGAGTATCCAAGCAATCAAGACAGGGGCAAGACTTGATGAGGCTATATGTTCCAAAGTAGCCAAATCAAGGGGCAAGCATGGTGCAACTACAAGTTCTCAAGTAGTCAATCCAGGATCGAGGTGTGATGAGACTGCGGGTGTCAAAGCAGTCGAGCACAATAAGGGACCCAGTGCGATAGCAAGAGATAAAGCCGTTAAGCCGAGGGTGCAAAGTGAACAAGTTCGTTCACAATATGCCAGGATAGAGGCATGGTCCAAGTTGAGGTGTCTCAGGCATAAAGGGACACTTAAGTAGTATGTGAGCCGATTCAGAAGACTCATGCTCAAAGTCTCAAGTTTGACAGAAGAAGATGGGTTCTTCACCTTCATGTTCGGATTGAAGCCATGGGCGAAGAAAGTGTTGGAGCGAAGGGAAGTCAATGAGCTGTCTAAAGCCTTGACAACCGTAGAGTCCATCAAAGAATTTGGAGTCAAGAAAAACAAGACTTCCAAAGCAAAGCCGAAAGCTGAGAGTAACAACAAGAGATTCCGTGATGAAGGCAAGTCAGAGGATGAGGAATGTTGTTCCTCGAGTGGCAGAGAAAGTCCACTCAATGATGAACCAGATGGTGAGTCTGGAGAAGAGGTGTGCAGTCTTGACACAAGTTCAAGTGTCAAAGATGCTAAGCCGAGGGTAAGAGTCGAGCAAACGAGGGGGCGCAAACTTAAGATGCCAGAAGTGTTTTGAGACTACCCGAGGGGAGCCGAGTTATCCAATGTGATGGATGAGCTCAGGATCGAGTTGTTCAGAGAAGAGGACAAACCCAGGATCGAGGGGGTGTTGAGAGTTGGCTCAATACAGTTCATTTCTATCAAGGCAAGTAGAAGCCAAGTGCAGGAGGAGTTAGCCATGTCCAAGGAGTTTGCCGAGCATGTTCGTGTAGAGAACATGGCTTCAGAGACCATCATAAGAGAAAGGTCGAAGCAAGGGCTTGCTGAGGATGTTCAAGTGAGGAATAATCCTTCAAAGACTAGTAGACTAGAGTCGAAGGGAGCCAATACATTAAGGGACAAGGCAACCATGGAGAAACTACCCATTTGCAAGATGAGAAGTGAGCTCCAACCTTCGTGTTAGAAGGAAGGAGGCAAGAAGGAGCATCAGACTTTGCCGTTCGAAAGTACCGATGCATGGTGGCGTAAAGAACTCCAATGATAAGGGTTCATTGCGAGGAGTGTCAGACTTCATGTAATAAGAAGGGCTGACGCAATTTTGAGTATGCAATGGTTTGTACTAGACCAGACATTGCTCAAACAGTGGGAACTGTTAGCAGGTACATGAATAATCCAACAGACATGTTGACAAAGACGATGACTACGGACAAACTGAAGTTGTGTTCAGCTTCAGTTGGCATGCTAGAGTAACAAGACCAGAAATGTCGTTGCATTGATCAAGGTGTGAAGACAGATTAAAATCAGTCTTCAAGTGGGAGATTGTTGAAAAGTCAAATTGATGAATTCAATTTTGGCACCATTAATGGGAGGATGGGGCTGCTAATTTTTCCAAATTGGCAGCACACTTTGGTTGAATTTGGTAAGGGATAATTACCAAATTTAGTCCCTATACTTTAGGGTATTTACAAGATTAGTCGTTAAGCTTCAACTATAAATACCCTATCCTATTTAGCTTCAAAATCATCCCAAATCATTTCTTTCTCCCAATACTACAGAGCTTTCTTGTGAGTTGTGAGTGTTTTGTAAACACCTGTAATTTTTCTCTCTTTAGTAAAAGATCTGTAGCAGTCCGGAGACGTAAACAAAATTGGCTGAACTCCGTTATCAATTTCGGGTATTATTTTTCTGCTTTTATTTCGCATTCTCACTAATCTGGTTATAGGAAAATTTTTTGGTTATTTCCCAACAATTATGTGAGTATGGTTGTTGGGTTTGTAGTGGGGTTTTAGGGAGTGATGGCTCCCCTGTTTTTCATAAGGACTTGGAGGCATGCATATTATGGAAAGCTGGAGCATATTGGTAACAAGTTGTATGTGTTTTGGGCTACTAAGTGTATGTACTTCCATGGGAAAATAATATAACATGTATGTTTCTGTGTGTTTGTACTTGATTATGCAGGATTCATATACATATGAATGAAAGTAGTAGCTAAACGAACACCCATTTTCTCAAGATTCCTTGTAGCATAAGCATGCATCACTTTTCCCATTTCATTATCCACGAGGTCTGCAAATAAAGTTACCATGCTAATCATGGCAACTTCACTAGGTCTTATTTGTAAATTTCGCTCTTTCTTACAGTCTCCAATGCTTCACTGTGCATTTTGCTTCTAACATAGCACCTAATCATTGTACTCCAAGAAACATAATCTCTTTCACGCATGTCATCGAACAACAACCTGACAGAGACCACACTGTCACATTCACTACACATTTGAATCAAAGCATTACTTACAAAAACATCTTCAGTCAATCCAAGCTTCACAGAAAAACTTAGACACCCATTTTTATTCGGGACAACAAAATATTATTATTATCATTATTTATTATTATTACTATTATTATTTTTATTATTAATATTATTACATATTATGCAGGCCCAGTTCCCCAAGACCCAATTACAACACTCAACCTGGAGCCCAATTACAAGCCCAAAGCACTCAACCTGATTGGAGCGCCATGCCTGATCCGAACCAACCCAGCTGCAAGATCCGACCCGACCCAATGATATCAGAACCCTAAATATTAGGGTTTCTTCACAAACAGTCACCGCCGTACGCTATCATCACTCCAGTCACCGAGCCGCATTATCCATCAACGTTGATATCCCGAGCCACCGCCATAGGAGCCGATGAGAGCCCATCCATCAACAGTGACAGGGAGACAAACATAAACCAAATCAGAGGAAAAATTGGACAAAGTCAAAACAAAAATTATACCAAATCCCACCAATATCTTACCTAAATCCAAAAAATTCGTGATTAAATCTACCTAATCCATGACTAAATGGAAGGGTTCAATGATAAATCAAGAGGGGAACGGGGGCAGTTTCGAAGGAAGAAAAGAGAGGAAAATCGAGAGGAAAAACGAGTGGGGATTCGGAGAAATCAAAAGAAAAAATAGAGAACTAGAAAAAGAAAACCACAACAGAACAAATAAAATAAATTGAGAAGGAGACTTACCTCATAGTTGGACCACCCAGAAGTCCAAGAGTTACCGGAGCCAAAGAAATCGAGAGGTTTCTTTGTAGATCTACAGAGATGGGGTCATTTTCAGGCCAAATGAAGCATGTATCCATCGTCGGGATGAAGAGACGCTTTGAATCATGCCTTTTTCTTTTTTCTCCGACGCCGGCAAACGACGGCTGATGTGTCCGCGACGGACGACACGGTGGTTGTCCACCGGTTTCTGGGAACTCCATAACTCTCTCTCGGGCTCTCTCTCTCTCTCAAATGAAGGTGTGAAGGCTGAATGTTATTTTTGGCCTGATTTTAGGCTTATATGGAACATGAAAAACGACACCGTTTCATCTCTCTTAGCCAGCGTGTTCTGCTTTTTTGGGATAATTGTGTGCTTAATCCCATTGCTTTGTAAGCCTTATATTTTAATCACGAATGATAAATTAATTAATTTTATTTCGAACTACTTAATATCATTTTAGTTCATTGTTGTCCTTATTTGGTTATTGATGTATCTTTGTCAATTTTCGATTTGGTTATCAATTTTTATTAACATTCATTTTAGCCACTAGATTTATGGGTTAATT